TTCGATAGTAACCGGCTAGCCCAAGGATGCTCCTAACCTCTGGAACTGCCTTTGGTGCGGGCCATTCCTTGACTGCGCGAATCTTGGTTGGATCTACCCTGATCCCCTCATTGGTTATCACATGGCCCAGAAATGCCACGATGTCCTTCCAGAATTCGCATTTAGAGAGTTTGGCGTATAGTTGATTTTCCCTCAGGGTTTGTAAGGTTGTGCGGAGATGCTTCTCGTGTTCCTCCTTGGCGTGTCCCTTTTGGCTACCGTCAACAACAATGGTGTGGGGGAGGGGGGGCACTTGCCGACTGTGGCTGAGGCACCACCCCCTCCCCCATCTGGCGCCCTCTTCCATTCCAAACCAAGCCCAAACCTTGCAATTTGAGTTGTTATTGCACTGATTATGGTTCACACAACTGTATATACCATAAATAAAAAAGTACATTATTTAAGTACTGAAAATACATTATTTTGTATATTATCATATAATGTACGAAGTAAACAAATATTCTATTTTTAGTATATTAAAATTGTATCTTCTATTCAGAGATAGTACATTATTTGAGTATTGAAAATAAATTATTTTGTATAATGTACATTCAATACTCAAATAATGTACTTTAAGTTTATTAAAAATATACTCCATCTATTCCATTTTATCTGTTCTACTTACTATTAATTGGTCAAACCAACTCTTTATTTTTTGCTTGATGGTTTTATCGGGACCGGGTCCACCATAAACGAGACGTAGAGGTATAGAACGGAGGTAAGAAAATAACAGCTTTATTACCCGGGGCGCTAGGCCCAAAATAGTACGTCACAAAGCCGAGGTACAGGCACAAAATGGTGGCCCAAATACAAAGAACAATGCCAGAAGATGGGCTATAGCTAAATATGCTACTGAAAAAAAAATCGAACCTAAACAAGGGGTTTGAGAACATAAGATCAAGACTACTAGACCATAGTGCTTGTAGTGTTCAGACATGTCCTTGATAGGAAGCCAGGCACCCTATTTATTGCTTGACCCCCATGTCTTGCACCCTCTACGTGTACGTTCTCAGACTGACTCAATTCGGAGGCTTCCACGTGCCCCACGTCTCTCATCCACATACTATCACTACGCACACGCTGTCCAATCACCTCCGCCATGCACTCCCATGCAACACCTCCCCACCCCCTCACGCCACACCCTGGAAATGGGGAGGGGGGCGCACAACTGGCGCAAAGCCGCGCCGCCTGTGCGCTGGCCGCGCCTAGGCCGGCCGAGTCCAATTAGCCACCCGCGGGGGCCCCTGTTCGACATTGATTGCCGCGATAGACTAGCAGCGAGGGGGTGCGACCCTGCGACAGTGGCGCACTGGCCATGTCACCAGGCACGTTTGACGCCCGCGACCCGGCCGAGCCCCCGCTGTCGCCGGCGACACCCACGTCGGACCATCTTCCTCCCCCGAGACCCTTTCGGCCAACGCTAATCCCCCACCTCCATTTACCTTGGCCCAATACCGCGAGCCCCAACAGATCTTGAGCGCATATCCTATATCCCTATTATTGCTTATTTTCTTTAGTATTTTTTTTTTTACTTATTCTTAAATTTAATTTTTTGTTTTAATAGTACTTTTAGTGTAGTTTCTAAATATATAAATTTTGTATACTAATACTAAACTTAATATTATGAAAAATTGAATTAAAAATAACATCAGTCAAGTCTCGTTAACCTAACCAGAGACATAAAATAGGACATAGGGAGTATTTTTTTTATAATTCACACAGTACTATGTGGACCATGGTCCACATAATAATTTGCCTTGCAATTTGATCCCTTGCCCCCAAGCCCAAATTCCATGCCTAACTCAATTCAATCGTTATATCGCGCACTAGGGCGCACAATGCATTGTGCGCCCCGCCCTGCCAAAATGACGTCGTTTTGTTAAGTTGTGTGGAGAGTTGATGCGATGGAGTTTATGTGTATTCTGTTATACAATTATGTACATTCTATTATAAAATTATATACATTCGAAACAGAGAATTTTTTTTTTTAAGAGTTAAGAGTTTATATGTATCATGTATTATGTTAGATTATGTGTATTATCCTTTCAAAAAAGATTATGTGCATACTGTTATACAATTACATACATTCTATTATACAATTATGTACATTCTATTATACACTTATGTACATTCGAAACCTGTGATTTTTTTTTAAGAAGTTAATTGCAAACACAAGAAACAAAATTTCCAAAAAAAAAAATACAAAATAACATCGTTTTAGGTCAGGACGCACAATACATTTTTGCGCCCTGGTGCATGATATAATTTGCCTGCTCAATTCCATTTATCAATCAACTCCACTTGGACTCCAATTAATTAGCCTGATAAGCCCATGGTCCATCAACTTTTTTTTAGTACATCAATATTGTTTAATTTCTTCCCCTACTTTAATTAATTTAATATCTATACTTTACAAAGTGTTTAAAAAAAAAAAAAAAACTACATTGCCGCCCCGCAAGAAGAAACCATCGCTGACGATAGCATTTTTAATATTTTATTTTATTTTAAAAATAAAATATTGGAATCTTAATAAAAGCTACAGTACAAGTTTAGTTATGGTCCTTTCTTATATTAAAATTATGAATATATGAATTAAATTGCGAGTAATATTCAAATGATAATAGTTCTATGACTTGAATAACGTTTTAGACGGCAGAACACAGGCAGGAACGGAGCCAGAAAACTTGAGTTGGGGGGGCCGGTGTAGTAGAGAAAATTTACAATTTTAGCCGACATTATAATTAATCGTACCATATTATTATATATACCATACATTATTGTGATTATTACTGATAATAATTTCTAATTATACTATGTGTAATAAAGTATGAAATACATAATTATATGAGTACGATCGACACATGTGCCGATCATTACTTTATAAATTTTTCACATAACACAAAATATAATAATAACAATAGCAACAACATTTATTAAATATATATTCTCTTAACATCAAATAAAAAGATTTTTCAATTATTTTGTCACCAAATTTTTTCATAATTAACTGATATTCATTTCATTGATTAACTGAATATTTCAAAATTTGAGAGATAAAAGACAAAAACCAAGACGAATTAAACATTCAATATTAATTTTTGTCAATTTCAAAACTAATCATTTAAAGTTTTAAACTAGCAAATGTACATCTTAAAAATGTAAATAAACATTTAAAACACACAATAAATCACTAATTAATTAATCAACATTACTAATAAAATCAAAGCATATATCTCTGATTTGGAGATTTTTTAAAATTAAAATGTATACTTGATTCTCTTCATTATTAAAATCTTGATAAAAGAAATAAGATAATAAAGAAAAATTTTAATTTTAATTATATGATTTATTTTTTTTATTTAATGAAAAATAGTGAACTTTAATATATATTTTGAGTTCATTTAATATAAACATAATAGATTGTTTTATTTTAAAAAAAATAGAGGGGGGCCAAAAGTATATTTTATCTCTACTATATCAATATATACATACATATTTGTTAAAAAATTTAGGGTGAGGGTAAGGGTGGGGATGAGGTGAGGGGGGCCAGGCCCCCCTACCCCATCACGTAGCTCCGTCACTGAACACAGGAAAAAGATATTATTAAACTTGCAATCATTTTGTGTGATGATTATTTTATTTTATCTTCTGTTCACATCCTTATCATGATATTTAAATAATATACATTATATGCTACCATATTCATTGATCATTGGCACATATTTACAAATAAATTTAAATCTAATTTACAACTTTTAATGTTAATACATGAGGATGAATTTTAATTGGGAGTGATGGATTCTATCATTTTCTAAAAATAATAAGGTAAAAATAGAAAAAATAAAAGTTAAGAATTTATTTTTGAAACAATAAGCTAGTAAGTTTTTTTAAATGAACTATTATTTTAAGGAAAATGCTAAGCATCATACAATTGTCTATCACAATCAGTCACTCACAAATATATAATTGTTGGATTTCACTCAAAGTGCACATTCAGATAACAGTAATAGTCTTTTCCATAAACCAACTATACAATTGTCACATCAAAAGTAGTCTCTTGTGAGTGGTAAATACAGGAGTGTATATCATGATCTTTATTTTGAACTTAATTATTTTATTTACGACTACTATATATACAAACTTAACAAAGAATGTATATAAAAATTATATTTTATTTACTTGATCATTCTTTTGGCAACTTAATCATAAAAATCGTAACCAAGCCCATCTATCATCCGTAATTATTATCGTTAATGAAGACTTGAAGACTTGAAGAGAAGGCCAAAGCCCTTATGTATAAATATATAATCCATCAACATCAACTTGGAAAGTACTTTTGAATTGAATAAAATTAATTTGTTGTCAATAATGAAGCTTTATTCTCATTTTTGTGGGTTATATTACTTTATCACTATATATCTTTTGCCCTGCCTGTTGGCCTGTTATTCTGGACCCTTTCAATTATATTATTATTTTCTGGTATACCTTATCTCTATAATGTCGGTCACCGGTTGAACCTCCGGCGAATGTCATAACTAGACTGTGGTCATATTTGATAACTTAGTTAGTTTATCTGTCAATTTTAATTTATTTGACCGTTGTTAATTATTTGATTTGATTAAAGACGTTTAATTAATTAAATTTTTTTTGTAATAATTTATTGTTTTAATTAAAATGTTAAAATTTAAAAAGATGTTCAAAAAATTTTTAATTTTGGATCAGATTTTTGAGAAAGTCATTTTGAATGTAATCAGTTATAGCGAACAACTAATTTACTAAATATCTTCCTGCAATCAGCTAATGCTATCAACTAGTTAAACTCATTAACTAAATCAGCTAACCACAATTTACCAAACAGAGTGTGTTTTTCTTTGAGTATACTTAACTAAAGCACTGGGTTTGTTCCAAAAACAAGTGAAAAGAAGCAAAAATAACAGAGAAAGTTTGGAAAGGAAACTCACTTGTGATATCCAACAATCTTTCTTCGACTTCTCCCATGGCAGTTTAGGAGATGGAAACAACAGAAACCTGAAGACCCTTTGGTGCTTTGATACAGAAAAGCGCAGTGTAAATATTTGGATGGGTGGAGACAACAAGATATGGAGAACGTAACAATACAGGTTATATATAATATGAAGGGTAGTCTCAGTCGTCCATGGGGATGGCTATAAGGAATATGAGTAATGTAGGAAAAGGGGAAAAGGAATGTCACCATATGATAAAGGGATAAAAGAGATCAGAAAATTCTCAAAAAAAAAAAAAAAAAAAACAACAACTGAAAATATAAAATATTTCATCTCTCTGTAAGCTTACATATTACAACTATTTACAGTAGTATAGAGGATATGATAAAAGATAGTTTTAAATGCTGCACCTTTGGGGGAATAAACAGAATTTTGGGAAATAGGAAATCTCATAGTATCTAAGTAAAATTATTAACTATTATTAATGCATTTCATCGTCCAATCTTAATATGAGAATATATACTGCCAGTTTTTAGAGATAACTCTTGAATTTTGCCGTGCATTTGTTCTCTATCATGTTGGATATTTTGTTGGTAAAACTCAATAATAATCCTTTATTATTTTATAGAAAAACGGAAAGGATGATTGGATATGATGGGAAGAACGAAAGATTATGGAGCGAAGAGGTTTAGTAGGAATTGAGCTAAACACTCTTTCCTTAAAACCTTATTTGCTACCTTCCACAAATGCTAAGAGCGTTGTAGCCTAGGTTTCTGAGGCTAAAACGTGCTACAGTTCAATCGTTTGAGCACTCAAACTTTGAACCCGGCGAACTAGAGTAAGGCTTCGAACACAGTTAGGCTAAGAAAGGAGGGGCCGTTTACTAACTGAAAATTTCTGAGAATTTCCGAAAACTGGAAAATAGAAAACAGAAAACATGTTTACTAATACAGTTTTCCATTTTGAAAACTGAAAATAATTTATGGAAATTTTTGAAAAACTGAAACACACTTAAAAACTGTTTTCGAAATTGATAACAGAATCATCTATCATCTATTTAGTTATATGTCACTATACCCACATTATTATGATTACATTCATTATCATCTTATTTTACTTATCACTATCTTCTATCTTTTCTACTTACTTTACTTATTGAAACATAATTTATTTACTTACACTTTAAAGTTAGACATTATTTACATTATTAAAATTAAGAAATTAAACTCTATATAATGTTTTAGATTTTGATTAAACTCAATAGATTATTAGTTAGAATCCTTTTAATCATGTTACATCATAATACAAGTTCGGTCCTGATATCGGATATTGAAATTTCACATATATTAGAATTCAAAGTAAAAGTTATATATATTCATATACATGTCATTCAAATGAATATATCTAAAAAAATATTTTAAATATTAGCTCAAAAAATATTAATATTATCTAAACTAAATTTTAGGTGAAAAATGAAAAATTAGAAAATAGAAAACAGAAAATAGTTTTCAGTTAGTAAACAAGTTTCTAAACAGAAAACAGAAAACGGAAAATAGAGAATGAAAACTGAAAACTTAGAAAACAGAAAACAGAGAACAGTTTTCTGTTGGTAAACGGACCCCTTCTTATATAGGGTTGGAGAAGTTGAATAGCTTCATTATGACCATTAAAACTGACATAGAGCCTAGTTTTGTAACACCTGAAACAGCCCACTAACTGAGATTAAATTCAAAATTTAAAAGTGCATTAATTCTGTAACGGATGAATTTAAACTCACAACAGTCCAGAATGTTTCTGGTTGGCGGTTGGCCGAGCCATTTGGTGTTTCGGCTCTCGTGCTCCAATTTCGGCATCCCATGAGCACGAGAGTTCAGTTCGGCCTTAGGCGTAAGGCCAAACTCGCTCGCTGGCTCCAGTCAGATTCGACCTCATAAGGCCGAACCATCAGCACGAAGAGTGAACTCTCGGGCTGGTCAGGTTCGGCCTCACAAGGCTGAACCATTAACACCAAGAGTGAACTCTCGGGCTGGTGCTGTCTTGGCCGAATCCAGTGGGCGCAAAAAAGACCCTCTATGCTATATAATTCAATAAAGCTTAGAAGAGCTCTTGTATAAATAGTGGTGTAAACCCTCTTCCCAAACAAATGTGGGACAAGCTACTCTGAAGCTTTTACCCTTCATTTTTCCAACTCAAATCGGTCTACTTTGAGAATGAATATCTCATTCACCCATTATCCGTTTTGAGGGTACAATATATCAATCTCTTTGTCTCACTACGAAGAATTCGAACCCACTTTTACCCGACCCAAATCGAAAGTGGACCCCACTAATAATGGTACCACAAAATAGCCACTTATAATGCTATTTTATGCCATTTTAAGCTATTTTTTCAACATATCATACTCCCTCACTTTGAGAAAACTCGACCTCTAGTTTCTCTACTTTAGTATTTCCTTGATCATACAATCATGTTTGACTCTTTTTTTTCCCATCCTTTTTCCTTGCTTGGAGAAGACTCACGCAAGAAACTTTCCAACAAATGTCTTTAAGACTTAGTAATTAACCTCTTGAACATGGTCTTTGATGAGCCCATCCAATTAGAGATGTCAATTCAACCCAACCATGATGGGGCCAACAAATGGCTTTAAGACTTAGTAATTAACCTCTTGAACATGGTGTTTGATAGGCCCATCCAATTAGACATGTCAATTCAACCCGACCATGATGGGGAAACCCGGTCCAGCAAATTTTACTGTGGACCGCAATGTATTGTAGTTCATGTATCAAAACGGAGCCCTTTTTTCATTAAAAGAAATGGCACCGGTTCCGCGCTGTTCCACAAAAAAGTAACTATGTTTGTATAGCATATGCAGTTTCATTTTATATACACTGCAATTTCATTTCAACACAACTACAGTTTCATTTCGATATAACTACAGTTTTATTCGAAATTATACACTCAAATATGTGAAACTGTTTTTCATTTTCATTTTATATACACTACAGTTTCATTACAACACAACTACGTTATCATTTCAATATAACTACAGTTTCAATTCATTGGATAATATGCACTCACATATATGAAATTCTTATTTAGTTTCATTTTATATACACTGCAGTTTCATTTCGATATAACTATAGTTTCATTTCGATATAACTAAAGTTTCATTCGACATTATACATCAAATATGTGAAATTGTTATTCATTTTCATTTTATATACACTATAGTTTCATTACAACACAACTACAATGTCATTTCGATATAACTACAGTTTCACTGGACAATATACACTCAAATATGTGAAACTGTTATTCAATTTCATTTTATGTACAATGCAGTTTATTTTCAACACAACTACAGTTTCATTTCAATTCAATTACAGTTTCATTTGATAATATAAAAACAATATATGAGGCAGTTTCATTTTATATACACTGTAGTTTCATTTTGTAATTAACCAACCAAAAATACGTGCTCCGTTAAGCTATAACGGCAGTCACTTCTTTACTTAAAGAAACGGCGCCGTTTTTGGACCATGGTCCAAGATATAATTGCTAACCTAGTCCCCGCCTTGACGGGGACGGGAAATTTTTTCGGGGAATGGGGTAGGGATGGGGAGAGTTTTCCCATTCCAGCCAGGGACAGGGATTGCATCCCTGCTTCAACCCCGAACCCCGACCCCGAAACTCCGAAATATATATTATATTATATTATACTCCGTATTATATAATTATATGTCATATACTAATATTTATATGAACTAATATTTAATTTGGACGTTTGATTGTTTTTCAAGTTATTATATATAGATATTTGGTATTTTGGTTAAGAGTTAATTCCAGCAATGGTCCTCGGATTATTGTGATTTTTTAAAATTGGTCATCATCTTTTAATTTGGACAAAAAAGACACTTACTTTAAAATTTGTTCTAGCATTGGTCCTTCCGTTAACCTTCAGTTTGTTAGGCATTAGTGTAGGAGCTAAAATGGTAATTTCCTTATCTTATTGCTTTCTTCTTCCTCATGTTGACTGAGTATATGTATTAGATGCAGATGAGCAAGATGAAAACTCCATTATTTCTCACCTAGCTTCCTCACTGGCCAAATTTTCCTTCTCACTTAGCCCAAAATATAGGGTGGTTCCTCCACTATTTACATGCCATTATCACCCATAGTCCCTGTTATTTTTGGAAAATAATTTGCCAACTCATACAAACAAATAGCGAATTCTGTAAAACTATCCAGGCAAAGAGTAGCCCCACCCCCCTCCCCCTCCCCCCACACCCAAATCAACCAGAAAAAAAAAAATTATGGTGGGTGTCACTTTTGTTCATCCAATTTCTTCCGATCCCGATTATATATTTGATTGACAAGTGTTATTTAGCTCACCTTGTTTTGAGTCTCTAAACGTCTTTATCATTCTTATCCTCGATCTGGAAGGCTACTGAATTAAAAGTCTATGCATAAGAAAATTTGAAAAAAGTAACCCTTGCAGTGGAAATTCCTCTAGATTCTTTGAATGATGATGGGAGAGTAGTAATTGGCACTAAAATGAAAAACAAAAATGTGGTTCTAGAGCCGGAAAATGAATCTGTCACTAAAGAAGAGAAGAGAAAACTACATCTGAAGATGAAGTTAGGCGAGCAATAGTGGAGGAACCGCCCTATATTTTGGGCTAAGTGAGAAGGAAAATTCGGCCAGTGAGAAAGCTAGGCGAGCAAGCTAATTGAGAAGCAATGGAGTTTTCATCTTGCTTCTCTGCGTCTAATACATGTACTCAGTCAACATGAGGAAGAAGAAAGTAATAAGTTAAGGAAATGACCATTTTAGCCCCTACTCTAACGGCTAACAAACTGAAGGTTAACAGAAGGACCAATGCTGAAACAAATCTAAAAGTCGTCAAGTGTCTTTTTCGTCCAAATTAAAAGACAAGGACCAATTTCAGAAAATCACAAAAGTTGGAGGACCATTACTAGAATTAACTCGGACTTTAGTTTTGAATAGTTTGAATCTTTAAGTATTGTTTAATGTTTAAAGTATTTTGTACTAGTTGCATTTTAAAATAATGGGAGGTTATGCTAATTGAATATTTAAATATATAAATTTATAAATTGATAAATGTATAAATTAATTATATAATTTAAATAACATTATTTTATACTGTATTAAAAATTGAAAAGTGTATTTTTTTTTAAAAAAAAAAATCGGGCTCCCCGTCCTTGAAAAATCCCCGCGGAGATGGACCCCCATCCCTGTCAGGGAACGGAGCGGGGATGAATTCGGGAGCGAGGGCGGGGACCCCATTCTTCGCCCCGCCCTGTTGCCATCCCTACATCCAATGACATAACTACTCCGTAATAATTTATAGGTGTTGTCTTGTATCTTGAACATCATGTTCAATTCCAAGCACCTTTGGTTCTTTCATATAGTTGAGAATAAAAACTC